ACCTATAAACAAATTTATACACAATATCTGCATTTCGGTGTAAAGAATTATTGTAATACAGCGCCATAGTGCCACCGATCAAATAAATTTAATGTGCACAAAAAGGGCTAATTTTAATAGCTTCTAGCCACAATATTTAAATAACGATGCCAATATCGTCAATCGTTTCATATACCATTCAACATTTTGAAGAATATTTAAAAGCTCATAAATTAAATGATTTTTGTAGAGGTTTTACATTTAAATTACATTTTGTTTTTTCATTGTTGTTATGATTATTATGTTTTTTTCCTCTTTTAGCTTGCATATTGTTGTATATATAGGGCGTAGGTGGCATTTTGGATTTCTTTAGCAGGTATTTTTCTTTTACACATATATGTTTTTTTTCCCCTTATGATGATTATTATTATAATTTTGAATTAATTTAAATTAAAATTTGTGAATTTCCATTTTTAAATTTTTGGTTATTTTTGTTTTTATTGTTGAAATGTCATAGAAGCGCTAAATGTTATTATGGCCTAACAAATATGGCAATAAATTTGAAAATTCATCAGTGTAATTTATTTTTGTTTGTTTTGGTTCATTGTAGGAGCTATGGGTGTAAATGTATGTATAGTCAACGAAAAACTTTAATTTTGAAAACAATTTTCAACTACATATAGATACATACACATATTAGAAAAAAACGGTCTCTATTTGGACTCTTTTATTTTATTTGCGCACAGAATAAAAGAGACATTACAAAAAAAAATATATAGTTGACTCAGTTACTTATAGGTTTTACTCAGTTATTTATCAAATTTAATTGCAGATGAATTTGAAATATGATTTTGTTTAAGAAACAAAATGAAAAATTTTTTCCATTCACACAGAATTTTCCACTTAACTAAGAGTAAGCGGAAATTCCAAGCTCTTAAACATTCACAGAAAATCAATTATTGACTTGGAACGCCCGATAATATTTTAAATTTTAATAAAATACTTTATCAATAATTTAATGAAAAATTTCAATAAATGTAAAGAAATCTTGTAGAAAGGTAATTTAACACTAGCGTTTCAGAAATATTACGAGAACTTTCATGGTAGCGCTAAAACTAAGCATATACTTGTAATTGGACATGTGTAGTTCTAGTGCTATTGTATTCCGCAGCTAAATTAGTAAGTCAGTCACACAAAATTATTTCATATAACTCGTTTATCATTTAAAACTTGAAAAATTCTAATATTTTCGTATAAAATGAAATAGAATGAATTTCACTACACCTTTAAAAAGGTATGGTGAATTTTGGTGAAAAAAAAACTATATTTTTTTTGTTTTTTTTTTTTTTTTTTCTTGAAAAAATAATCCGCTCATGGATGCATTTATGCATCACGGATTTCAAATAAATGCTTTAACCCATTGGGCTTTTATGTTCACATCTGTCTATATGCATCATGTATTTTATATATTATATATATATAAAGGCATGTACATATATACATACATATAATTTTTGCTTGATGAAAAAAAGTGATAAAAATAAAAATTTAATTTATTATTTTTATCTATTTATTTCATTTGCTATCACTAATATGAAACGAAGTAATGTCAAATGGTTGAAAAACAGGGAAAAAATGACATTTTTGACCATTTTTCTCGTCATTATAAATTTCCCTCTCTCTCTCTCTTTCTCATTCTCTTTTTTTAACTCTTTCCCCAGGTTGAACTCTTTTTTTATTCTTCATTTTATTGGTTTACCGTTTGTTAGTGTTAATTTAGGCCACCAACATTTTTCGTTTTTAAATTGTTTTTTTTTTTTTTTCGGAGGAAATATTTAAATTTTATTATTTTTTATTCTTTTAAAAGGCAAATTTTTTAAGTGTTAATTAGTTAAAAGCATTAATTTTTTTTTTTTAATAAAATAAAGCCGAAAATAAGAATAAAATGAAAAAAAAAAGAATTTACAGAATGATTTTTGTAGGTGTTGAAAAGTGCCAGCAAAATATTTTATGAGATGAGAGTGTGATAAAGATAACAAATTAAAATAATTTGGATATCATTTTAATGAAAAAAATGAACTTTGTTTTTTAATTAGGTGCGATAGGTATAATAATAATTAATGATTTTTTAACCTTTTGTATCTAACCATAATGATTTTGTTTAATCATTTCTGTAATAAATTCAAAATTTATTTTATTTTCCTGTAACACTTTGTAAATTGTTTAGAGGAGTAGCTAGAATTCATTTAAAAAATAATAAAAATGTTTTTGTATAAAAAATATCTATAAATATTTTATTTGAAACGAAAGAGCTTTTTCATCTTAATTTTCAAATTTATATAGCCAAATAAGACGAATTGAGACACTGGCCGTTCGGGGAGCATAGCTCTAGGCTGGGATTGTCCTTCAACAAAACGTGTCACAGCTATCGAAAAATGAACAATAAGACCATTTTTTAATATCTCTGCGAGTGTCCGGCTCTGGGCGGGGTCAGAATGGTCAAGTAGGGCAGAACATGTATGACGAGGTTTGATGATTCATTAAGAATTAATATTGGGGATTTAAATTGATTTTTTAAGATAATCGGATTGGCTTTAGATAAGGTGCCTGTAATCGTACGCTTAATGACGGCCGGGTACGCTTAATAACGGTAATAACGAGATGATGACAGTAAAACAGCAAATTTGTGTTATTTGATTTGCGGTTGTTCAAGATCTTAGGATATTATTCTGAATTTAATTCATTTATAAACGTGACACCTTGTGAAAAAGCGGTGTACGAAATTTCAATATTGAATTAAATTTTAAATTCGAAGATTTTCATTTTTGAAAAATTATTTTTAACGTGTTCATAATTATAATTAATTGCTACTAAAGAGATTATACATTACAATTGTTTTATAAAATAGCTGCTTAACTTTAAAATGGAATTATTAATTAAAAAAAATTTCTGCATTCAAATTTTATTTCATATTATTTAAAAACAATGAAATTCGTGTACTGAAAAATGTGTTGGAAAATGCGAAATGATGGTGAAAAATTGTTGAAAATAATTTCAAATAAAAAATTGTATTTAAATTTGTAATTGTATTTCATAAGTTTTATTCTAACAACAATATTGTAGATGTTTATTTTTCATTATATTTGTACATATAAACGGTCTAATTAACATATTTTTATTTTACTAAAGAAATCCGGCAGAAATCAGAAAAACAACGTCAAGATTTCAACCTGCGGATCAATAGAGTAGTCTATAAATTTTATTCTAATAATGTTTTTTTTTATTTTCGAATCTTTTACAAGGATTTTTTTTGGGCCCTGCGTATAAACTGAAAATGAAAAACCATAATCTATTTTATATTACAATAGTTTTTGTTTTTATAAATTGGTTTCCAGAAAAATGATTTGAAAATTAAAATATTACAAATCATATTTATCATTTTCAATATCAATACTTTCAATGGCGGAATAGAAGATACAAATCCATGGCAACGCAATAAATTTTACTACATATATCAATAATATTGAGATACCTGTAGTTCTTCAGACCATACAGTTGAATACTTTGTATTTGAATTTCTTAGAAAACTTTCTTTTTATAAAATATTTAAAATCCTATTTATTTTCTGTATTCCATAAAAATACTTTCGGTCTATTTTTGTGCTTAACAACATATTTATCATAAAAAAAAATTATAAAATGTGTTTGAAATAAATTTTTTTCATATCTAATTTTTTTTTATATGTTCAATAAAAAATTATTATTACAATATCATTATAGAATTTACTATACTACAGTTAGCGTTTTGATTAAAGAAATTGTATTTAAGAACCGAGTTGGTTAAGCAATGAATTTGGTTTCCTATTATGTCTAGATCATTGATTACTTAATTTTGTATCTATTACAGAACACATAGTTAATACCAAAGGCTAACAGTTTTGATATTAATAAAATTTTCAAATAATTTCAGTTTAATTTTATTTATAGATGAGTTCAAATTGGTGAATTCCGATCGGTAGATTTTGGTTCTAAGTCCGTAGCTCTAAATATTATATGGACGTCGTCATTCTTTAATGGAAAGTATCCTATAGATAGTATGGTCCATACTCATATTATAAATCCTAAATGTTAATGGACCATAATTATTTCAATATGGACACTGTTGTTGCACGTAGTAGCCTTAAAGTAAAATAAAAATAATGTTATCGTTTATTAAATTTATTGTGCGATACTTTCAATTAAATTCTTTTTAAATTCAAGGAAAAAAACTAACTTTAATATAATAACTTCAATGTGGTAATGATGGAAACAGAAAAAATAAAATTCAATTTCTATTTTTGTAATACAATGACAAGTATCTGGATCTGGGTATACCGTCAATGGATATAAAGTACAAAAATTAAAAAAAAAAAAAATTCTAGAAAAAAATTTTACCATTTTTATCATTTTTTACTTTTTTGAATCATATACACATTTTGAAGTGCAATCATAGTACGATAATAAATCCTTAAACAAAAAAAAAATAAGAAATTCTGAATGTACATAGAATGTACATTTAACCTTAGCTGATCATTATTAAGTCTTTACTAGATTTTAAAAATAAAAAATCCTTTATGAAAATTCAAAATGAAATTTTCTTCTTTTTCTGTTCATAGAAAATGGTTTCTCCAATACACTTGTTCTTGTGTATGTTTATTGAATTTTAAGTGAATTTTTTCTTCTCATTTCTAGGTCGTTCGATCGTTCATTCTTTTTAAAAAATAATACTGCTAGATGTGCTTATTGTGTGCCATTGAAAATGATTTATGACTTCATTGATTTTTTTTTCTTGTTCTCTTTTTTTTTTTATTATTATAATACTTTAAAGAAAATATTATTAAAAAAAAAATTATATTTATTTTTTACTTTTCAGAAAAAAAAAAATTATTTAATTTTTTCAAACCTTCCTCATTTTTTTTTTCCGATTTTACTTTTGTTTTTAATATTCTTGTTCTTATAAAATTGTACTTTTTTTTTTTGCAGCATCAACAGCTCGACATACAGACTGTGAAATTACACCAGATGTACAACATGCTACGTATAGAGTTAAAGATGATGATGAAACAGTTACAGCTATATATACATGTGAAAACGGATATGAATTAAAAGGTGAAGCAAAAATTATTTGCGATCTAGATACAGATGAATGGTTACAGGATCCGCCAACATGTGAAAAAGGTAAAAGATTTTTTTTTTTTGTTATTTGTGAATAAATGTATATTGTATGTAGGTACTACATTCATATATGAAATTTATAGTACAATATGTTTTGTGATTTAAGTGTGATTTTAGTAAATTTGGAATTATGACATGAAGTCTTTTAGTTTTTAAAATATTATAAAAATTGAATTTTTTTATTTGTACAATCACAATAATAATTTGTACGTTAAAATCTAGGGTTCGTCGTCAACTTTATGAAAAAATTTATTTATAGTGTATTTTCATAAGAAATTTATAAGAAAATCGATTTCACGCCTTAGGTATTTGGGTTTAACTATAGAAATCTTCCATATTTCGAAGTTGTTTAAAGGACAAATTTCAAGTAACAAATAATCAATGTAATTAAGAACATTGTAATTCAAATTTACAATATTGTTGAGAGTGATGAGAGAAATTTTTATCTTCTTAAATTAGGTTCATTTTCGATTTTAGACATTCGAATTCATGCTATGATCCGAATAGAATTAAACACAGATAATATTGGCAATGCAAATATTCCTGGGATCGGAAATGTAATAATATTGTACTAATGCAGAATTTAGCTTATAAATGCCCATTGCTGTATTGTGTATCGATGCGGTATTATTACAATTCCGATATCAGGGTATCTGATCCATGGCCTTAAGTATACTATGTAAATATAGATATTAGAGACAAGACTCTGTTTAAAAATAGATATTTAAGTAAAATTCACAATATATTTATATTTAGTAACAATTTTCTTTGTATTTATTGCAGAAATTTAAAAAATTCTGTCGGGCCTTTTTCTTGTCTCTTAAAATTTATTATATATTAAAATACATTAGTAAAAGGAGGACAAAACTATTCAAATTAGTTGAAGCAAAATTTAAGACTTTAGTATTCAAATTTAAAATTATATTTCAAATATTTAAGCTATTTTCGATTATTAAAGTAGCATCTAATGAATTCCGAAATGCTCGGATTAGACACATTATATTTCATAATAGTGATTAGTAATGTTAATGATGATTACTGCAACGGTAGCAGTAGATTATAATTCGAGTCCAGTTAAAAGAGAAAATTTTTTTTCCCTTATTCGTTGCTTTGGCTACAATATTCATTTATTCTACAGTTGTAAGAAGAAATCTTCATAAATCTTCTTTGTTTATTTCATTAGAAAATTTAAATAATAAAATAAACCAATGCACCTTGTAATTGCTTATTTGGGCTAATCATAAGTCTTACAATAATATGACTATAATAAGACGCCTTTTAAAAATGTCTGCTGTTTAGCATACAATAAAGCTCAAAAAATAAATGAACTAATTTTTAAAGAAAAGTAATTATGGTATATTAAAATTAAAGTATTCATGGGCCATATATGATATTTAATTAAAAAAAAAAACTGACAAATATTTGAAAATTTTATTATTGTAATGTGAAAAATTCAATATTTTTCAGATTAAATCTTTTGAAATTCGATTAAAAACATACCCTATAAAATCCTATTAAGTGAAAATAAATTTAAAACTAATTTCAAACCAAAATATAAATACGCAAGGTGGTGGTTTTCGAAGCATAAAATAAAAACAAAAACCAAAAATCAAAACAAATTTCCTCAGTTTCAATCGGATTTCGTTACGTTTATTGAAATTGCAATTTGAAATTTGTACCATAATTGTATGTCTGTTTGTATAAATATATTACCATTTTATCCACATACAATTTACACATGATAAAATTTACTCTTTTTTTTCTACTTTGTACAAAAAAAAATACACATATAAAAAAAAAGTTTAATTTTGGCATTTTGTTGTATTAGATTTCTAAATAGAGAAAAAAAAAATATATATTTCACATTTAAAGCAACCTCTACGTTTCGAATATGTATAACGTATCAACACGTGATCCTGATGAGAATTCCTGTATAATATGTTCGTAATAATGAAAGAAAGAAAAATATCGCAGAAGGGATGTATGATGGTAAAAAGGAGAAAGCAATTTTTCTATGCTCTTTCAACTTTTTTAAATTTGTTTTATTTTTTTTTTTTTATTTAGTAAATATTGGATAAATTTTCGTGATGAAAATATATGGTAGCAGACGAACTCTGTCAATGAAATTCTAATAAAATTCCATAAAGAAGAATAAATATACAGGAATAATAGTAAAAAAATAAAAAAAAAATGGAAGAAAAACAACAAATATAGTTGCTGTTTTTCTTCCATTTCTCATTCATTCAGTAATTTGATATTTAGTGGGACGATATTGTTGTATATGGAAGAGTAGTTCTACAAGGAGTTTATTTCAGTTTATGAATCCTTGGAGTATTCTTGATTGTACTATATATATTATATATAAAGTATATAGTTTTTGATTCAAAGATTATTTTTCTTTTTTTTTTGTGAAATATGTACATAAAATGTACTATTCCTACTTGCTTGTTCTGCTCCTAATGTTATATATTCATTTTATAAGACTATGCGCTATGGTATGGGTATATGTATTCAAGACATTTTGAAAATTCGTTCGAATTGTAAAGCATTTGTACATACGTATATCTATTTTGAGTAATAAAATAAAGGTGTTCCAATGTTAAAGTATAAGTACAATAGAATGACTAAATCGATTGAAATTGAAATTTGTTTAAAAACAAGTAATTAAAAATCTGAAATGGATTTCAGAAAATTTGCACACCATTACTGTCTTAAATCACGGAAGCCCATAAACTGATATTGTGTATCATTTGTATCAACAATTGGTATCAGAGTCGGAGTTCGATATATCCAAAAAATTTCATTTTTTAGATATATCGAAAATTAAGAGAAATGTATTATATTTGTGATTTGCATTCAGCTTAATCATTATATAGTTTTAAAGTGGTTAACATTGCTGTTGTAACATAACATATGGAACATCCTGTGTATAAACCTAAACAAAAACACATACTCAATCGTGTGCATAAATAATGTATAAATATACGTATATGCTTAAATTTTATATTGTTAATGTTATGATAGCATTTTATACTAAAAATTTACTAGATTTTAAGCTTAAATGGTTTTAAATATAAAAATATTTATATACCTTGGTTGTTAGTCATTACGTATAGTAGTCTACTGTTTTGCTAAAAAAATTTTCTTAAATTTAAGGTGTTTTTATTGTATTGGCTTTATTGTTATGAAAAAGAGCAGAAAAAAAAAATATTGAGTGAATTTAATTTTTGTTTTTTTTTTTTTGCTATTATTTAATGGTATATAATGTGTTTTCTCATGTTATTAAACTTTAAAGTACTTGTGAAAGTGTTGGACACTTTAATGGTTTTTCTTATAATGCTTTAGTAAAAAAAATTGTTTAGTATGGTAGATATTTTATTCGAATTAAAAAATATTTTTTTTAAAGAAAAAATATTTGAGAATTTTTACAAAAATTTCCAAATTTTTAATTGTATGAAAATATTTTAATTATAGCTTTGTAAATATTGTACCTTCAAAATGAGCGACGTTAATCTCAATTCAATGAAATAATTAATAAGAAAGTTATTGGTATAAATTAATTACAGAATATTGTAAAAGTTGAAAATATTAAATGGGGAATGAGTATGAAGGGAGAATATTAAAGTGATGATGGGAAGTATGAAACCTCGGATCTTTATTATGAACAATAGAAAAAATTTCCAGTACTTCATATTCTTTTTATGTTTACCATATTTTGTTCTTTCACCCAGTTCTTTTAGACCGGTTTATATTACGGAACCTACAAGCAAAATATTTTCTTATTGTAAAAAATCTATATTGATTTGAGAAAAATGTTCTTGCAATACAACACTTAAGTGAATTTTAATAATATAAGTAACAAATTAAAGAAGTATATTTAGTAAAAGTTATACAAATTTTAAAAATAATATAAATTATTTCAGAAAAATTGTTAAACTCTTGTAAAGTTTTAAATTGTGAACTTTGAAATAATATTGTAATATAGAAAAATTTAAAATTTCATTTCTTCAAGTATAGAATTATAACGCTTAATTAAAGTTGAAAACTAACTATTATCACTTACCTGTATATTTAAAATCTGTTTGAATAATATTCTATTACAGCATGCAATGCACCTTACAAATTACAGGCATATGTTTTGATTTGCTTCTCTTTAAATAATGATTTTGTTCCCTTAAAGCAGTAATTTTGTCTTCATCTCCTGAATATTACATAATCACCATATTTATTTCTTGATTTGTTTATATTCGCGAACAAACTAATTTTTGTGTATTAAAATATTTTAATTTTATAGGATGAACTGGATAATTCAAATATGTAATTGTTTTTCTTTCATGCAATATCAATTTTAACAGCATTCAGCTTCCAAAAATTAGACAAAATTTATATAAATTTCACTTCATCTCCGTTTATTGTAATTTGTCAAATTATATATTGATTTTTTTTAACTATTAATTTGAGTAACATATTGTTTCTTTAACAATGACTCATTTGTGTCCTTAACAAAATTCATATATTTTTCATTCTTCAACTATGTAACAAATACCACCCTTTTATTGCTCCATTTGAAATTTTATATTAAAGGAACTCATGCCATTCAGCTCTTTATAATAATTTAAATCGTATTCTATCTACACTTCCTGTTTTTATGGGATTTCCAGTTTTAATGTACAAACACACTAAAAAGAAAAAAGAAAATTTCAAAGTTATTTAATTATTAAGTAAACTTTAAAAAACAAATCTTAATGAGCTTTTTAATTACGATTTAGTCTTACATTTCTTTGCAATAACAAAAGAACCATTTGATCTCAAATTAATCAAAAGAAAATTTCTCATAATGGACTTATAATTTAAAATTTTAAATGTATCATTAAATTTCATTAACTTAAATGATTTTAAAGTTAATTGTCTTAAATTTGATTTAAGTAATTTGGGGAAGAAAATTGGAAGAAACTAAGCTCCCTTTCCAAGAACTGTCACAAAAATTTGTACAGTACATTGAA